GCACCTCTCAGACTAAACCAAGATTATCTTTTCTGAACAGAATCACAAGAGAAAGCTTACTTTATGAAAAAATCTCTGGCCACCACCTTCTGGTTGATGCGAAACCCAAATCTTGAGGATCCGAAGCTTCTTCTGATTCTTCCTGACTACTGGAACTCTCCCAGACTTCTACAATCTCTTCAGTAGCAGCCACACACTACCAGTAACCTCCAAGAATCAGCTGATCCTCCTCCCTTGTTGAAAAACTTCCAAACCTAGGTGGTTCTCATGCAATCGGCCTAATCATACTAGCATAAGAGCTCCTAGGTCGGCTCTGATACCAAGTAGTCGATCTAGACTACAATCAGTCTTGAATTAAAAAGAAAAAAGGATAAAAAATTGAAGAGAAGAAGAAGAGAAGAGAGGAAGAAAAGAAGTACACGAAGAGAGTTTTAGAAAAGAGAGAGAGTAGGTCATAATTTCTGCCGACCCTCTCTTAGTATTTATAACTATTGGCTAACTGTAAAAGGGCTGAATTGCCCTTATTGCTTACATGGAAAATAGAATAAGAAATAACTAATAATAAAGCTGAAATAGCTAACTGAAATAACTACCAACTAACACTATCATATCTAACAGAAATATTGCTGCCATACGAACACTGTGGGGACCACATCAGTGGGGTCCACATCAGTGTTCTTTACAGACATCATGTGTTCATAGTTTATACCTTAACAACAGTGCTTTATTGATAGTTTTTGATAGGTAACTGAAAATCCTTATTGTGTTATATCAATGAATAGAATGTACACAACATGCTAGACAGCCTGATGTTTTGGGATGGGGAAAAGGGACAGAAAATATGTAGGGAGATTAAAGAGAGTACTTTTTAGAAGGATCATTCTACCACCAAAAGAGAAGTATTTAGCCTTCCAAGATGACAACTTCTTTTCCAATCTTTCAATAATTGGATCCCATATGGCAACAGAGGAACCTTTAGCTCCCAATGGAAGGCCCAAACACTTTACCGGAAGCTGCTCCACCTGGCTAGACAAAACAGTAGCACAATCTTCAAAGTTAGGGACATCACCCACTGGTATGACTTGACTTTTGTTAAGGTTGACTTTCAGCCCTGTGACAACTTCAAACCAACTGAGGATCCCAGGCAGATTATCCAGTTGAGCAAGAGAAGCATCTAAAAAACATAAGGTGTCATCCGCAAACTGAAGGATGTTCACTTTTTCACCCCCTGGGGAAATTGCAAACCCTTCCCACAGACCAGAAGCTGCTGCCTTCTAACTAAATAGAGTAAGGATCTCTGCAATACAAATAAAGAGAAGGGGAGAAAGGGGGTCTCCCTGCCTTAACCCTCTAGAGCTCTCAAAAAAGCCTGCAGATTGACCATTAATCGGAATAGAAAATTTGGGGGAAGAAACACAAACTTTCATCCAATTCCTCCACTTTTGCCCAAAGTTAATCTTTTCCAGGACTTTGTCTAAACAATTCCAATTAACATGGTCATAGGCTTTTTCAATATCCAGTTTGTAAACCAAACCTGGACATCCCTCTCTCATCCTTGAATCCAACAACTCATTTGCAATAAGAATTGAGTCAATCATTTGCCTACCCGGCACAAAAGCACTTTGATTTTTTTAGAACACACTGTCCAAAACTCCTTTCATCCTTTCGGCTAAGACCTTAGCCAAAATCATGTAAAAGCTATTCAGAAGGCTAATTGGTCTGAAATCTTTGACATGTACAGCCCCTTCAATCTTAGGAATGAGAGTGATAAAGACATTATTCAAGCTCTTTTGAAGGGATCATTAGAATGGAATGACTGGAAGGCATTTAAGATATCTTGCTTCACAAAATCCCAGCACTTAACATAAAATAAGTTGGAGAAGCCATCCGGGCCAGGGGATTTCTCATTGTCCAAGCTGCTGATAGCCATCTTAATCTCCTCTTCGGAAAAAGGTTTTTCAAGATAAATCCATTGATCTTCACTAAGCCTTTTAAAAGGTGGTACCACCACTTAAGAATCCCCTTCTATCTCTATATTATCAATGTTCATTGACCTGGCCAGCCTCATCCCTTGTTGTAATGCTGATAGCTCAGCTCTTATAGAGTCCCCATTACTAATTGGGCCTGAGAACATTGCTGTGACAGCTCCATTTTCATCTCTAAAATCTCCACCTACTCCAAAAGGTGGTGGATTGCCAATGCTGCAATCATTGGAATTAAGCTTTATAACGTTGTTCTGGGTGGTTCCCATTTCCTTTGAGGCACTATTTGTGATCTGATAAGCTGGCAACCTCTCTCAACTTCCTTAGAATGTTGTCCATTGATATCAAATTAAAAATATCCATTGTTTTTACCTAATCTGCTACTTCCGCTATAATGTTCTTAATTATTGCTTCCTTGGAATGACTTTTCCCATTGAAATGCTTCATCGGTATTCCTATGATGTAATAAAGGCAGTTTACCCTGATGATAGTTTGTGATAATATATTGTAGTTCAAGCAACTTGTAAAGGATGGTTTGAATTACTTAACCATAGTACTCCATGTAACTCATTGCATTGGTCTGTTCCCCAAATAATCTTGCTTGTATGATGCAATGAAAATGGTAGAAAACCAAACTATGTGATAGGAACTGATCAGCACCCTTGAAGACTTATTCTGGAAAGAAGAAGGCCTTACAACAGGTCCTGATATGGCATAGTGATGGTACTTGGGATTTGGACTGAATTGAATATCAAGGGTATTTTTGTCATTTTTTGTGCAGTCCAATGATAGGGTTTAAATTGTCTAGTTATAGTTTGTTTATGTTTAAAATTTCAGAGTCATTGCATAAGTAGGATTAGAGTTATTGAGTCTTCTTTGAATTGAAATAGGATATGACAACTTAGTTTGGATCCTACTAGGATTATTGAGTCTAACAGTTTGACTCCTAGGATTATTATGAGTTTAGACTCTATAAATATGTATGGACGTTTTACACAAAGGCAATGAAATATATTGAGTTTTCTTCAGCTTATGCTAGCTATGGAGAGTGATTCCCATGCCCTAGAGTGATTCTAGGCACCCTGTGAGTGATTCCAGGTATTTTCTCTCTTCTTTCTCTCCATATTTTCTCTTTTATTCCTTCAAGAAGTCTTTACAACCATCAACAGCCATAAAACTTTGATCAAGAAGATTATTCAACATTCTCTAAGGACTAGAACTGAGCTGGTCCAACATCACTATGTGAAACGGATCATAAACCTCTCAAGGGTCAATGGACAACCAACAACAATACATGCTAATTGATGGTTCTCTAATAAAAGTAACCTATCTACTCCTTTAGCCAGTCTGTTTTCTTAAGGAGTTAGCTGTTCATCTGGTTGCCAAGGATCTAGCCTACCTGACAAAATGTTGAGGAGTCTTTGAGCTAGTAAATGATGAAAGCATCCACACATATGTTGTTCTGGGAGTCAACTTCAACACTTGGTCCAAAAGTAACACAATTATTCCTTACTACATTTTTTTTCTCTTTGAGGAAACAAGTTGAAAGTTAAAAAGTTGGGGACTAAAGAATCATAGGTAGAAACCATGCTTTGTCTAAGCATCTCATGCCTCTCTAAGGGATTTGGATACTAGATAATAGATTACTTTATTAAAGAATTAGTTTTAAACAAGGTTTTAAAAGGCATAGTTGAGGCATAATGGCCCAAAAAGGTGAGGCGGAAGCCTCAAGGCGTTGCAAGGTGTAAGCCTCAAAGTTTAAGAAAAAAATTAATTGAAGTTTGTAAATTGATGAAAATAAAATAATAATTAGTCAACTAACAATTATAAATATTTCAATTTTATGTAAAAAACCAATTTAGAAGAAGGGAAACAACTTAGTTGATTTGATCTAATAATAATATAGGGCCAGTATTGTAGATCTTGTTGTCTATCCCAAAAGGCAAGTATTATTGCTATTGTTATTGTTATTGTTATTAAAAAGAAAAAAGATCCATTAGTAGAAGAAATAAGAAATATAACAAATTTGGGACACTACATTTAGAATAATAAGAAAAATCTCACTTGATTTATCCGAAAGAAACTAAGTACTTGATTAGTCCTTTTTGCATTGAACTCTCTTAAAACACTAAGAAAAACTAATAGAATTTGGTTTGCCTTATTGGTTTTTCTTTTTTAATTTTTTATTTGGCCTATAATTATTGAAGTGTTTTTCCTATGTGTTTTAAATTATAAAAATTTATATTTTTTTTGCATTAAATCACCAAGTAATCATTAATACTTGAGGCTTTTGCCTTTTTATGCCTCAGGCTACACCTCATGCCTGGAGGCTTGAGGCTTATGCCTCATTCTGACAAAGGCTTTAAAGCCTCACATCAAAGTTTTGAGGCTTAGGCCTCGAGGCAAAATTTGTGTGCCTCGCCTCAAGGCTTGAGCCTTTTAAAACAATGGTTTTAAATTCCTGCAATTGACAGTCAGGTCCTAGAATACATCATATATGGCAAGATTTTGTTGACAAGATGAGTTTTTTTTTTCTTTTTTTTTTTTTTGGCAAAGACTTCTTATGTGGACAACTGATAGTAGAGTTAAAATTGGAAGGACATCCTGTCTTTTGTCTAATGTAGGCATGGTGTCCAGTACATCGAGACTGTTTAATGTTGCCCCTTTAGATATGTAATATGTAAGGATATACAAAATAAACCATAAGGACAGTCTTGCTATTTTAAGTTTTGTGGGGGTTGGTGTGATGGTATGTCATGTTTGATATATATTTTGGACATAGCATATGTGTTTCTGTCCAAATTTATTTAGTTGCAATTCAGTATCTAGATGGTGACTCAACAGTTAATATTGAATCAATTTTATGTGAAATGCTTGCATTTATAGAACCTTAATTAAATCTATTTAATGATTCTTTTAATGCCATTTAGTCTAAACCCCCATATCATGGTGTTTTCTGACACCAATTCATTCTAAGCAAATTTCTTGCATTCTTTTAGGGGGAAATTCCACTCCAGGGAGATTTTTCTGCTGAGCACATGATATTTGGAGGTAGGCTATTAATTTAAAATTTTTCATGCTACTTAATGATTTTCTCATTCTTATTGTTCTTCTTGCATTTATTTTATGTAGTTTTGGCATTGTTATTTATTTCATTCTGTAGCAAGGTCACTCTACTGTTTGCTCAACTTTGTGCACGTGCTTAGTGCTGACAATGGTATTTCATGACATAGAGACATGGAGATCTTATACACCCAAACAAAAGTGAAATGATTTTTCAAAATGGCATGCCAATGACAATTAATCAGACATTTGAAAAAAAAAATGATTTTGCATATACCTTCCACTCCAAAATTTCAGTGACCATTTTGAGTGTAAGAGAAGAATGAATGCATTGCCGAATTTCACATTGCTTTTCCTTTGTTTTGCTTTACTTTGGGTTGTTGGCAGTTGAAGGGACTGATCCTGTTAGGAGACAGAAATTGATCGAACTACTTGACATTGATCTGCAGTGGCGGATGCATAAAGTATCTGATGGGCAGCGACGCCGTGTCCAAATCTGCATGGGTCTTCTTCATCTGTTCCAGGTATTTTCACCTTCCGTGGTTTATTCTATTGGTACACGTTAATGTACAAGTTGCATCTATTGTTGTGCCAGACTAGGCTAGCCTGATGGACATCTGTAGTCATTGCAATTTTAGATGCCTTTTGGGATAGACAGCAAGATCTACAGTACTGGCCCTGTACATGAAAAACACTTAATATACAAATGGATTTGTTTGGGCCATAACTTGGAATTATCTTAGGCCCAAGGTTTCAAACTTCATATTTGGTTTGAAGTTCAGACCAAATGAAATGCAATTGATTTGTGAAAGCTTATGCAAACTAGCAGTAACATTGCTAAGATGATAATAATCTGGGTGAGACTTTAAAAGATGATGACAGAATGATATTGATACTTATGCAGCATACATTATATTGCCATAGCAACCATTTAAAGCTAGAAAATATAGGGCATGCCAACTTACACAAGTTCTCACATTCGACATTCAAATTGAATCTGACATCCTTTATCTTGAGTATGCAACATTTAGGTAGGACCAATCAACATATGCTGAAGTTAAACTATAACCTTTTTTTTATTGTTAAATTTAAGTAGAGCTTTTTGGACTTGATCAACATTTTATAATGCTCATATTCCAGCAAGGTTTCATGTTGAGTCCATCAAACTGAAATACTCCTGTAGAGATATTTTGGTTTTATGGAAGTTCAGAACAATGTCTAGGTCAACTTAAACTTGAGCTGTTAAATTACCCAGTATTAGGTCACACTTGAGTTCATGTCTACAAAATTTGTTCCATGAAAGGCTATGGGTTTAACTGGGGCCTATCAGGTATCAAAGCCAAAAACACTTTCCTATTTCAATATTCTTGATATATGGTTTCTGTTTTATTAGGGAAGTATGGAAACCTCACTTGCTCTTGACCTTTTTTTTTTTTTTGGTAAGTTTTCTCTTGATCAATTTGCCAGTATGATTCAACCTAAAGGAGACTGGCAACTTCAGAATTTGTTCTTTGCTGTATGCCTCCCCCCTCTTGCTTTCATGGCTAAAACATGTGCATGCACATGATAATGATCAATGTTATAAAATCTGGGTGGTCTGACCATTCTGTTCAAGAACTGGTGGCTTCATCTTCTGGTTGGTTCTTCATTTACCAAAATCAAATTGAGTATAAGATGTAGAACCTTGGCCATGCATTTCTTTTGAAAAACATGCTAGATTTTTGTAGATGTGGATCCACACACAATGTAGATTTTATTCACATGACCATGTTTCTTGGTTGGTGTACTTGGATGTTGGATGCATATGTTGGTAGAATCTGTCATGCATCCTTGCACAGAGGATCTAGTTGCTTCTTAAGAGTAACCACGAGGCTGTGTTTTCTTGTAGTGCTACATTTACACCCTACACATAGTGGGATTCATGGTTAAGCTTGTTTGAATGTGCACAAAACATTTTTGATAAAATCAGTGCTGTTGTATATGATGTTGAGTATGTAATTATGTATCTTTATCACTTTATATACTTGCTTTCATCTACAAGCCATGCATGGCTCTAAGCTATTCCGGACCAAATTTGATATTTACCATGACCATCATTGAGGTTGTTAACAGGTACTGCTACTAGATGAGGTTACAGTTGATCTAGATGTTGTTGCAAGACTTGATTTACTTGAGTTTTTGAAGGAAGAATGTGATCAAGTAAGGACTTCGTATAATCCATTTTAACACCAATTATATTACTTTGTTTGTCATAGAACCATAGCATAATTTAGACATTTATATATTGTAGAGAGGAGCAACAATTGTGTATGCAACCCATATTTTTGATGGTTTGGAGACATGGGCTACAGATGTGGCATATGTCCAAGATGGCGACTTGAAGAAGGCAGAGAAGTTGTCCGAGCTGCAAGAGTTGAAGAGTGCTTCCAACTTGCTTTCAGTGGTTGAGTCATGGCTCCGTTCCGAAACTAAATGTGAGTGCAAGAAGGTCCTCAATCCTCCAGCCGAGACCAGGAAGACATCTCCCTTTGATAACTCTCCTTTTAGATCATCTAGGCACATGGCCTACTACCGTTGAATCTAACTCCTATTCAACCTCTGTGGGTGGTGCCCCAAATCGAGGTTTTTTACCCTGTATCAGTAAAAGAAAAATAAGCAAGGGCGAGATGATACTAGTACAATACCCCCAATATATCAAAAAACAATCCTAGAGCTACCCAATATCCACACTCCTTTAAGTTAGAAAAGGGAAAGGTGGGACTATTCTTATAAAGAATGCCGCTTTATTGGCTTTACTGTTGTGGCACGGTTGTCAGATTAAGCAACTTTGATTTTGGTCATAGATGATCTATAATTTATGTTCAACAGATTGGCATTGGTGAATCCTATTACCTAGATTCTGCTTGATGTTATTTTATTCAACCGTGCAATGCTTCCCCATGGCGTTTAGAAGGCCAAGCTGCTATGTTCCTAGCAATATTTTGAGTTGAAACACCATTTATACTTGAACTACATACATCACTGTTTGTACCTGAATGCTATTTGGTGAGAAATGTATTTTCTATTCATGTCAGCATCCAATCAACGCTACATCAGGCAAGGTGTTAAGATTTTGTTTCCCAAAGCAGAAAACATCAAATTGATGTTTCTTGAAACACCCCTCTAGCATGGATTTTCATGCACAGTGTTTTATGACTGTTAGCTCAAAACACACCTATATGGTACCTATGCGGTGGTGTTTATGATGGCATTAAAGTCATTTTCTCTACGTGGTGTAGCAGGTTTCCATTGGTTGGTGCAGAAAACTTTTTGATGTGAAATCCCCTCAGAAAAACATATGATGCAAAGTTGCAATGAAGCAGCACATATAAAACTTAAACCTCTCTTGGAATTTTCTCCTAAATACTTAAGCATTTCCTCTCTTTTCAAATTGGACTAAAAATTCCCCTGTCAAGCGATGTTATCAGACAAAAATCTCCCCCCTTTGCAAGTGATATCATGTGTGGGTTATTTTTTAACCCAAATTTGCCCTCTATTGCCCCTTCTGTCTACCATAAGAACCCTTCAGCAAACATTAAAATGAATACAAAATCTTTTTGCTTTTTTATGAATCAATAAGAATTGTTTTTCTCGTATAAAATGAGAACCAACCTCCCACATTTATCTCATTTTCCTATGTTTCTCTTTCAAGCTATTAAACAAAGGAAACAAGGAATTAGTTCAAAGAACAAAGGACATGAGATGCAATCTGAACTATTTCAAACAATAGAACTATAGAGCAGAGGGTGTGATGCAAATAGGATCCTTGGTATAACGGATATAGGTTTAAGGGTCTGTTTGGTTTGTGATTGGAATGGTTTATTCCCCCTACCTGTATGGTTCAGACAGGAATCGGAATCGGATTCTGATCGATGCTGCTTGGTTCATGAAGAGGCTGGAATTGGAATCAACTATGATTTTCAATTTTGCCCCTAATAAAAATAAAAAAGAAGAAAATGCATGAAAATACCAAAAAATGTAGAAATTGCAGAAATTTTGTAGAAAAATGCAGAAATTACAATAATTTTGTAAAAAATTCAAAAAAATGCATGAAAATACTCAAATTTTACAGAAATTGCAAAAAAAATGTAGAAATTTTGCAGGAAAATGCAGAAATTACAACGATTTCTATTATCTCTGTTTTTTCTGATCTTTTAAAAGTGCATGAAACGAGTAGAACATAGGCCCACTTGGTGGGGAAGCTCGGGATGCATGTATAAGACTAGACATAGGGATTTGGGTGGGGCGATCTCACTAAAAAAGAAGAAAGGGGGAGTGCAGGTGGATATTGAAGTATTGACGAGAGAGAGAGAGAGGGACGCTATCACGTACGAACGAAAAACCAGGAGAATCAGAGGGATTTAGAGAGAGAGAGTGAGAGAGCATAGAGTACCGTATGTATTGTATGTGTACGTAGTAGACAACGACCAGAGAGAAGAGCCAAAATGACAAGAATAGCCTTCTTAGAAGAGCAAGCTTTTCTTCGTGCACACATTAACACATAAAGCACGCTCATCGTACATAGCTTCTCTCTCTCTGATATATGTTTCTTCTAATACCTATGCTGCATTGCATCTGTTTGGAATGGGAAGGGAGATGATGCAGACAACAAGAAAAGCTAATGAGTTGTAGTTGCAGAGGGAGCAGATCAGAAGCAGAAGCAATGACGTAAATCAATGCCGTTAATTCATTTATTGGCAGAGAGAGTGGGTTCAGACTCTATCAGCCCAAGAAGGCCAGATGAGGAGGAGCAAGAAGAGTGGTAGCTGATTTGGAGGAAGAACAAGAAGGAGGAGGAGGAGGAGGAGGAGGAGGAGAATGTGAAAGAATGGTAGGATCCATCTAATGGACGCCATAAAGGTTGCGGAATGGGTGGGCGAATTTCAAAAATTTTCCTACCTTCTCCCAACTGGGAATCATATTCCCTAAATTTAGAAT